GGACCACATGAAGAGTTCAATAAATCAGATTTGTAATATAATATGACATGTCCCTCCGTGCACCCTCTGTGATTTCTAGGAAGGTTCCAGGTTGTCACCATCATTGTAAAGCCTTAGTTATTCTGTTGCTTTGACAAAATAATTTATGAAGATTATTATTTATTTCATGTCATTAGTGATTCATTTACATCTCTTCCTCATTCAAGGTCAAACGGTACAACCTTGGTCCGTGAACTGAACTCTCGTTTTAATATGGTGAAACTATTACTTTTTAAATATTTTTCTTTAAAAGAAACATTGAACATCTATTAGTCAAATCATAGTGTAAAAGCAGGTGAGCTGGTTCTTCTCTTTCTGGCCATTTTCTGGTGTTTTGTGGTGGAAAACGGAGCGAGTCGAGCAAAACACGTCATCCCTGTTACCCATAGATAGACAGGCTAGAAATGTTTTAACAATTGACATTTTTTTTGCATTCAATTGCCACTCCCTATTTCACACTACAAGCTTCCTGTCACAAGGGGATTTAGGGCTGATTTAAGAAGAAATCGTCAACCCTGTTACGGTCAACCCTGTTACGGTCAACCCTGTTAATTTACTCTGCACTTAATAGGTATTTACCATAGTTTTTTATTTTATTATTTTTAGATGGGAAAACATGTTTTTTTAGTAAGTTGAACATGTGTTATGACACAATGTTAAAATGAGGTGAAATCAAGTTTTTTGTTTGTTTTTAAGTTACACTTCTCAAAAAGCATCCGACTTTGTTGGAACAACCCAGTTGTTTATATTTAGTGGGTCCAATGGATCAAAGGTCATGTACACTACAGTGTGTTATACAATGTCTTTGTTTCTGTTTACTGGGGGTGTGACGGTTTTCCAAATGCTTGGAAGCTTGTTATCTCTTTTGACATCTTTCACTCTGCCGCATTCATGGGGCGGGACACTAATCCTGACGCTCATTAGAAATCCCACTACGCACTTTGACAAACCATCGAACAGGCAAAATATCAACACAGGACTAAAATCGAATCTTACTACACCGGCTCTGACGCTTGTCGGATGTGTCAGGGCTTGCTAACTATCACGGATTACAAAGGGAAACTCAGCCGCGAGCTGCACAGTTTTAACAATTTAAATCGTTTTGTGAAGCTTGCATTTAATTGCCACTCCCTGTTGCACACTACAAGCTTCCATTCCCCCTGTCACAAGGGGATTTAGGGCTGATTTAAGATGAAATTGTCAACCCTGTTACGATCAACCAAAGTTAATATAGTAAACGAAAACTGAAACAAAAACAAAAACAAATCATGAAAAAACTATTTAGTAAACTGAAATGAAATAATTAACAAACCCATTAGAACAAGTTTTACTATACCGAAACTATTATCTGTGACCCCAAAACGAACTAAAATAAAATAAAAACCATCATGAATTACGTTAATTGTTTCTAAATGTTGGGCAAAATACCGAATGGGGTTTTCAAGCTACTGAATCAGGTGTGAAAATGCTGCCAGGAGAAGGCAATGTTTAAAATAGGCATAGTTTGTGCATCACTATCACTAGCTATCACAAGCTAACAGGGGGAAAATCGTCTAGGTTGCTAACTTGATTTTTCTTACATAAAGTTAAAAAGCATTGGATCGGTGTAAACACCTGAACCATCACCTTATGCATTACTGTCCCCTAGTTGTATTACTGTCCCCTAGTTGTATTACTGTCCCCTAGTTGTATAACTGTCCCCCAGTTGTATTACTGTCCCCCAGTTGTATTACTGTCCCCTAGTTGTATTACTGTCCCCTAGTTGTATTACTGTCCCCTAGTTGTATTACTGTCCCCCAGTTGTATTACTGTCCCCTAGTTGTATTACTGTCCCCTAGTTGTATTACTGTCCCCAGTTGTATTACTGCCCCCCAGTTGTATTACTGTCCCCTAGTTGTATTACTGTCCCCTAGTTGTATTACTATCCCCCAGTTGTATTACTGTCCCCTAGTTGTATTACTGTCCCCTAGTTGTATTACTGTCCCCTAGTTGTATTACTGTCCCCTAGTTGTATTATTGTCCCCCAGTTGTATTACTGTCCCCCAGTTGTATTACTGTTCCGAAGTTGTATTACTGTCCCCTAGTTGTATTACCGTCCCCTAGTTGTATTACTGTCCCCTAGTTGTATTACTGTCCCCTAGTTGTATTACTGTTCCCAAGTTGTATTACTGTCCCCTAGTTGTATTACTGTCCCCTAGTTGTATTACTGTCCCCAAGTTGTATTACTGTCCCCTAGTTGTATTACTGTCCCCTAGTTGTATTACTGTCCCCTAGTTGTATTACTGTCCCCTAGTTGTATTACTGTCCCCTAGTTGTATTACTGTCCCCTAGTTGTATTACTGTCCCCAAGTTGTATTACTGTCCCCTAGTTGTATTACTGTCCCCTAGTTGTATTACTGTCCCCCAGTTGTATTACTGTCCCCCAGTTGTATTACTGTCCCCCAGTTGTATTACTGTCTTCCAGTTGTATTACTGTTCCGAAGTTGTATTACTGTCCCCTAGTTGTATTACTGTCCCTAGTTGTATTACTGTCCCCTAGTTGTATTACTGTCCCCCAGTTGTATTACTGTCCCCCAGTTGTATTACTGTCCCCCAGTTGTATTACTGTCTTCCAGTTGTATTACTGTTCCGAAGTTGTATTACTGTCCCCTAGTTGTATTACTGTCCCCCAGTTGTATTACTGTCCCCTAGTTGTATTACTGTCCCCTAGTTGTATTACTGTCCCCTAGTTGTATTACTGTTCCCAAGTTGTATTACTGTCCCCTAGTTGTATTACTGTCCCCTAGTTGTATTACTGTCCCCTAGTTGTATTACTGTCCCCTAGTTGTATTACTGTCCCCCAGTTGTATTACTGTCCCCCAGTTGTATTACTGTCTTCCAGTTGTATTACTGTCCCCTAGTTGTATTACTGTCCCCAAGTTGTATTACTGTCCCCTAGTTGTATTACTGTCCCCTAGTTGTATTACTGTCCCCCAGTTGTATTACTGTCCCCTAGTTGTATTACTGTCCCCTAGTTGTATTACTGTCCCCCAGTTGTATTACTGTCCCCTAGTTGTATTACTGTCCCCCAGTTGTATTACTGTCCCCTAGTTGTATTACTGTCCCCTAGTTGTATTACTGTCCCCCAGTTGTATTACTGTCCCCTAGTTGTATTACTGTCCCCTAGTTGTATTACTGTCCCCAAGTTGTATTACTGTCCCCTAGTTGTATTACTGTCCCCTAGTTGTATTACTGTCCCCTAGTTGTATTACTGTCCCCTAGTTGTATTACTGTTCCCAAGTTGTATTACTCTCCCCTAGTTGTATTACTGTCCCCTAGTTGTATTACTGTCCCCTAGTTGTATTACTGTCCCCTAGTTGTATTACTGTCCCCCAGTTGTATTACTGTCCCCCAGTTGTATTACTGTCCCCTAGTTGTATTACTGTCCCCTAGTTGTATTACTGTCCCCCAGTTGTATTACTGTCCCCCAGTTGTATTACTGTTCCCATGTTGTATTACTGTCCCCTAGTTGTATTAATATCCCCCAGTTGTATTACTGTCCCCTAGTTGTATTACTGTCCCCTAGTTGTATTACTGTCCCCCAGTTGTATTACTGTCCCCTAGTTGTATTACTGTCCCCCAGTTGTATTACTGTCCCCCAGTTGTATTACTGTCCCCTAGTTGTATTACTGTCCCCCAGTTGTATTACTGTTCCCCAGTTGCAATAAGTGACATCCCCAAAAACAAAAACAAAAACTATACAACACAAATGGCTTCTATCCTCACATGCTTCTGTCCCTAACATTAAAACTGAAACTATAACTAAATAATATAAAAACATATTATAAACTGGGTGGTTCGAGCCCTGAATGCTGATTGGCTGACTGCCGTGTTATATCAGACCGTATACCATGGGTATGACAAAGCATTTCTTTTTACTGCTCTAATTACTTTGGTAACCAGTTTATAATGGAAATAAGGCACGTAGGGGGTTTGTGGTACATGGCCAATATACCACGGCTGATACAGCCCTTAGCCGTGGTCTATTGGCCGTATACCACACCCCTTGGGCCTTATTGGTTAAATTTAAAATGAAATAAAAACTAGCATTCAGGTCTGAAAATTAACTGAAACTAAATAAGTTTATAGTTTCAAATAAAAATCGAAAAAACGAATAGAAATAAAAACTAATATGAAAACACAAAACTATAATAACCTTGTGGTCAACCCTGTTTCTTTATTTGGAGCTTAATAGGTATAGTATTTTTTGAGATGGGAAAATGTATTCTTTATGACAGAATGTTAAAGCCCCCATGCAGTCTTTGGAATTGTATTTTTAAATCATCACTGTCTGTCTAATAAATCACTGTGTGTTTATTACACTTTTTATTATTAATTTCCCTGAGCATCCTTCGGCCCTCGAAATGCTCAGTCTGATCGGGTGGGAGTTAGAAAACAAATTTGAAGTTATTTACATACACAGCCCTGATTGGCTGATAGGGTGGTCTAGAGTCCACCACCTTACCCAAATGAACAGTCATTGGTCTATTATAATCAGATCACATTGTGACATCATAATGTGGGCCAAAAGTTCCATTCCACCTGAACAGGCTGAAATTCCAGGTATTTTTTTCAAACAGCTTTTACACAAAAAGGGCGTTATCATCATTTTCACAATTCAGAGTGTTATTTCAACCTCATATTGTGGAAATAATTGTTTTTAACTGCACTGCCCCTTTAAAATTAGGTGAAATGAAACTTTTTTACCAAGTTGCACTTCTCAAAAGGCACCAAATTGGTGGGAATGACCCAACTGCTATTTAAAACATTACATTTTTTGGGGGGGGAGTGATGAGCAATGAAAATGCTTATTGGATTTTGGATACATGTTCAGAGCTACTACGACACAGCACAGCACAGCAGCAGCAAGAGGCAGCAGCTCAATTTGTTCCTGACTTGACTTTTGGCTGGTTTGGGTCAGAATGGCTAACTACTGGTCTGTTCAGGTTTTCTGTGGGGTTCTGTCCACCATGCTCATGGCCGTGGGGGCACTGGATGGTGGGATGGAATGTACAGACAAGGACAGATTACTGACAGAGATATCCAAAGATCTGGACCCACCGTCTGAGTGTGTGCTGGGTTGCACTGTACTGACTTACAGAGCTATGCTGGAGACCCAAGATATACCGACTGTACGCTTCAAAGACTCTACAGCAGGTGAGAACACCATTATATATATATATTTTGTGATGGGCACCGATATGGAAAATCTATATCGATATCAGTTGCATTTTTCAATTAGATATTGATATCATATCGGTATGCCTTGCTCATTTCGATATCAAACTATATCAAATGATATCAATATCATATCGAATTATCAATATTGGTATCCACCCCTGATAATATGATATACTGTAAAAGCACCATATAGCATGATATATCACAGTCTAAGGGAATTGCTGAGAATAAAAGGCATTCATTTCTAGAAAACATTTTTTTTTGTTGCACTGATAAAAAGGATATGCAGAAAAGACGAGCTGTGGTGCTGTGTGTAGCTCAGTTGGTGGGAGTGTCATATATCATATACCATGTATCATACTAAGACTATCCCCTTTTTCTCCACAGGTGAGCATGGAGAATACTGCTGGTCTATGAAAACTAAGTGTAGCCCCGGCGAGCTCCTGCTTCATGTCTACATCATGCTACCTGTGGATGTGTCACTGGTTAACGGGGAAACCCTCGGACTGAGAGCTACTCTCCCCCACCATAACAACGTACTGACTCCTCTCAACGGCCCCACGCCACTCTCCAAACTCTGTGGCCTCCGCTTCGACGTCACAGACCAGTTCACCGTGACAAAGAGATTTCCAACGTTCTGTGTGCAGGTGGTCCCACGGCAGAGCACCTTGGAAAACGGTGTTCATATTAGATGCCCACCTTTCCTGGTGACGATGTGGCAGAGGCAGACTAAGTAACCTACAAAGCAACGGGGGGGGGGGGGGGGGGGGGGGGGATGAAATGGACTTGTTAAACCAACGACCATCCAAAATGTGGATGGCATCAAGGTTAGTTTGTCAGAATTGTTAGGTAACCCTTCTCCTACAGTAAATGCATCTGGATCTGATAGTCTTGCTTATTTAATAACTATCTATCTAGTCAGCAACATATTGTATATAACACAGTGTTTCTCCATATATTGATTTAGCAGCGGTGCCCCTCCAATTCCAAAAAAAATATAGAGTGACAAGTTACAACATATATTTGTAGCATTTGATGCATTCAGTCTTTAAATACCCGCTACCTTTGTCACCGCTGCTGAAAGAAATCCTAGGGGAAACACTAACACTCACAGTGGGTTATATCCTGTTTTTGGAAAAGAAAAAGGATGCCAGATTGAAGATAGATTCAAATGCAAAGTCAGTAAAACAACCGATTGTCAGATGAAATACCCTGAACTCTTTCACACACAAAGACTGTTGACTAAATGGAGCACTGTGAACGATGACTTGAAATGGACTGTCAGTTTGGCAGCACATCTTTGACTCTGAAGGATGTGAAGGATGGCATTGAGAAGAACCTGAGGTAAATGTGTGGAAGGTGAAAATGAACTGTTGTATTTCATTGATTGATAGATGACAATATCATTGGTTAATACGCTGTCTGGACGTATGCTTTGGGTCGATAGTTGATTCTAGAATGAGATGATATTTCAAATAATATGGATTTGAGGCCTTTGTGTTCATTTGTGCTTTATTGTGTGGAGCAAACATTTGATGGCACATACACTACCGATGAAAAGTTTTAGAACACCTACTCATTCAAGGGTTTTTCTTTATTTTATTTTGTACTATTTTCTACATTGTAAAACTATGAAATAACACATATGGAATCATGTAGTAACCAAAAAAAGTGTTAAACAAATCAAAACATGTATAACATTTGAGATTCTTCAACTAGCCATCCTTTGCCTTGATGACAGCTTTGCACACTCTTGGCATTCTCTTGAATGAGTAGGCGTTCTAAGACTTTTGACCGGTAGTGTATGCATATTGAATGTATAAGCTTCTTATATGAATTATACTTATATACATACATTAGCTGCTAATTTAAGTATGTGAACCCAGAAACTGTCCTACAGCACATTTATTTTATTTAACTTTAACTTCTATTTTATTTACTTTAACTTCTATTTTACTTACTTTAACTTGCTATAACACCACACTAGTTGGTTTGATTTATACTCTGTAAACTGTGAGCTTTACTATAATTTTTTTCCAACCATATCAAGTATGCACAACATTAAAACAACTTCTCATGATTGTGTATGTCTGTGAGCTTGCACAAAAAAGAAGGGCATGGTTTCATCTTTTACCAGAGCAAATCATTAGAAGTTGAGAGACCGGGAACTTTTTCAGAGCTGGAAAAGAAAACCTTTATATAGAAACCAGTAACAGGAAAATGGTGGACAGTTTGCAACAACAGTGGGCGTTACATTACCACAGCGAGCTGTGGAGAGCATTATATTGACTATAGCTCCCTCTGCTGGCAGAAACACAATATCATGAACATACCTACTTTGCCCTATTTTACTCAGGGTGGCACACAGCACATGATGGTCCCCACCAGGGCTGGGGTCAATTGAAATGTAAGGCAGTCAATTCAAGGAAGTCAACTGAAATAAAAATTCAAACTTGAAAAAAAAAATAGATTTTCAATTACTTCTCAATAGGAGAAGAAGCTATTTATTTCAAAGTTTTCTTTATTTAAAAAATAATAATAATCTTAAATTAAAATCACTTCCTGAATTGACTGCTTTCAATTCCAACAGACCCCAGCCCTGGTCCCCACTCCCAACTATGGGAAACGCTGCAGCCACCCACCTATTCTCTGTTAACACATAATTCTACACATTTCTCATTCTCTACACAGCTGAATAGGGAAAAGTATGCAGTTTGATGTCAAGTCTAAGAAAGACTACTGTTTGAGTGTGCAAAGCACATAGGAAGATCTAGCTTCCACCATGTTTCCCCAAGCTGGCCTCTTTTGATTGTGGTGCCAGGAAGAATCTTTAGAAAGACTCGTGCCTGGACTGAACACAGAACAGGAACAGTATGTCCCCTGAAGAGGTTTCAAAAACTGGTGAGGAACATGCAGTGAACCGGTGAGGGACATACAGTGCAAGTGCAGCAGAGTCAAATAAACTCAAACAAAATTGTATTCGTCACATGCTTCGTAAACAACAGGTGTAGACCAACAGTGAAATGCTTACTTATGGGCCCTTACCCACAATGCAGAGAGAGAGAAAATAGAGAAATAATATTAAAGTGAAACACTTTTTAAATCACAATGAGTAATGATAATCAAATCAAATCAAATTGTATTTGCCACATGCGCCGAATACAACTGGTGTGGACCTTACAGTGAAATGCTTACTTACAAGCCCTTAACCAACAATGCAGTTTTAAGAAAAATAAGTGTTAAGTAAAAAATATTAAATGACAAATAACTAAAGAGCAGCAGTAAAATAAAATAACAGTAGGGAGGCTATATACAGGGGGTACCGGTACAGAGACAATGTGTGGGGGCACCGGTTAGTCGAGGTAATTGAGGTAATATGTACATGTGGTTAGAGTTAAAGTGACTTTGCATAGATTATAAACAGAGAGTAGCAGCAGCGTAAAAGAGGGGGTGGGGTGGGGTGGGGTGGGGGGGTCAATGCAAATAGTCCGGGTAGCCATGATTAGCTGTTCAGGAGTCTTATGGCTTGGGGGTAGAAGCTGTTGAGAAGCCTTTTGGACCAAGACTTGGCGCTCCGGTACCGCTTGCCGTGCGGTAGCAGAGAGAACAGTCTATGACAAGGGTGGCTGGAGTCTTTTACAATTTTTGACACCGCCTGGTATAGAGGTCCTGGATGGCAGGAAGCTTGGCCCCAGTGATGTACTGGGCCGTACGCACCACCCTCTGTAGTGCCTTACGGTCGGAGGCCGAGCAGTTGCCATACCAGGCAGTGATGCAACCAGTCAGGATGCTCTCGATGGTGCAGCTGTATAACTTTTTGAGGATCTGAGGACCCATGCCAAATATTTTCAGTCTCCTGAGGGGGAATAGGCTTTGTACACGAGGTACCAGTACCGAGTTGATGTGCTGGGGTACGAGGTAATTAGGGTAGATCAACTACATGACCAAAAGTTTGTGGACACCTCCTCGTCAAACATCTCATTCCAAAATCATGGGCATTAATATGGAGTTGGTCCCCCCTTTGCTGCTATAACAGCCTCTACTCTTCTGGGAAGGCTTTCCACTAGATGTTGGAACATTGCTGCAGGAACTTGCTTCCATTACGTATTGGATTGCTAAAAGATACAAGTTTTACATTACCGTGTAGTTTACCAATAAAATGGTCTGATGGTGAATTGAACATACTTGGTATACATATCCCGAAATAAATAAATGATCTCAATACAATACATTTTAATAGAAAGTTAGCAAAAATAGATAAAATCAAATAAAAAAGTATATCAGTTTCACTTAAGGACCAAAGGATCGTCAGCCGTCCCATATAGATTGCAAAATAGTTGGGAAGAGATTTTTGACGTACCGATCCCATGGCATAGTGTTTATGAACTGACACGCAAAACGACACCGGATTCAAAAATTAGAATCTTTCAATTTAAATTATTATATACAATTCTTGCTACCAATAGAATGTTATTTATATGGGGGATACAATCTTCCCAGCTCTGCAGATTTTGCTGTGAAGAGACAGAATCATTAGATCATTTGTTTTGGTTCTGTCCATTTGTAGCTTGTTTTTGGTCACAGGTCCAGGAATGGCTAAAGGATTGCAATATTTACCTGGAGCTAACCTTGCAGATAGCATTACTGTGTGATCTGAAAAGTCATAGTCAATCGATCAATAATATAATAATACTTTTAGCAAAACTGTTTATTTTTAATTCACAATCTGTAGAAGCAATGAGAATAGAAAGGTTCAGAACTTTTGTAAAACATCACAGTACGGTTTAAATATATATGGCAAATAGAAATCCTATATGGATGGTGTTAAGAGATAGATGGGAGGTATTGAATAGAGTTGAAGGATGGGACTAATAACAAATAACAACAAATAATAACAAAGATAGCTAATAATGTAAGCATACTGTGCCCATAATAAGTATATAGGTTGTATGTTGGGAGCTTTTGGGAAAGAGCACAGTTAGAAAGATATGGCATATAGAAGCAAACCGGATGGACATCATGAAAATGATCGGAGAGGTTGAGAGTAGAAGAAGTTCAGGAGCAAAAACAAAAAAAACAAAAAAGATATATATATAATAGAATTATTGTAAAATTAACTGTGTCCATAAGGTGTAGATAGTAAGTATAGACCGGAAGTAGAGGCCTGGGCATTGTTGTTCACTAATTAACTCCAAGTAGGGAAAGGATGGTGGGGTTGAAAAGTAATAAAGGGGAGTATATATATAAAAAACATGGGGGATTGGCAGTGATGCAGACAATTACATTGATAGAAGATACAATCTATCTGCAATATTAAGCTGATCCACCCAAAAAAAATAAAAAAAATAATAATAATATAGATTTTATCTTCCTACCATGGAAAGGTAAATACCTTTCTATTTGTGGGAAAATCGCCCTGATTAATTTAGTCATATCACAGATTGCTTATGGCTCTGCCCACCCAAATGATTCGTTTTTTAAATCATATGAGCAAAACATATTTTACTTTATTTGGAATGCTAAGCCAGACTAAATTAAACATGCCTATTTATATAATGAATAAGAATTCGGAGGGCTGAAATTATTAAGTATTAAAGCATTAAACCTCTCACTAAAAGCTTCACTCACACATAAATTATACTTAAACCCGAACTGGTTTTCCACTAGATTACTAAGAATGATGATCATACACACATGCTAACCTCTCACCAATACAATAACAGGGGAGGTTCGATTT